GTCTCTGGTAAAGATAGTGACAATTTTCAATCGCTACTTGCTTTAGTTTGGAAGATGGGAATTTTTATAGGAGCAAACGCGGTTGACTGAAAACTTCCATTTTGAGACTCATAATTACCAAGCTGGCAAAAACTAGAATTTTGGGCGATTTTGCTAACGAATCTGCTAAAGATGCTCAAAATATGGGAGCAGTCAAACGTCAGTTGATCACGTTGTTTCGCATCATTTAAATGTGAGTTTGATCAAAGCCTGTATCAGATAAGAACTGGAAATTTGGAATTCTGGCGCCTTAACAAAAAGACTTTAAAGAGCAATTAACACAAAAAAAATCGGGGAAATAATGCGCAATTCCGGTTTGGCAACCCTGTAAATGCCGAGTCCAAAATGAACTACAAACTCACATGCGCGCTATTTTTCAAAAATATGTAACTTCCAACTGAGCAAAGTTAGCAATATTGAATTTACTGGCCCTATAAAAACATCCTGATTTTTCCCAACCATGTGAAGATGGGATAAAGTTAACAATTCCACTTAAGTGCGCGCTTTTTTAATAAAATTCGTAACTTCTGATACAGTGAACGTAAGAACTTCGATTTTCTCCCCCCTATCGAGAATACTTACAGCTAAAAACACGACAAACTTGACTCAAATTCGCTAAAATCCTGATTTTTGCCAACCCTGTAAATGATGGGTTAAAAATGAACAATTCCACCTATTTGCACGTTTCCCTTTAAACATTCTTAAGTGCCAATCGAGAGCAGGTAGCAACTTGTAGTTGGCTCATCCTATAGCCAACACCTGAGGCTAAAACGTCGAAAAATTTGACTCAAAACGTACAAAATTCTGATTTTTCACAACCCTGTAAATGCTGCCTCCAAAATGAAGTGCAAAAGAAAAAAATATTTGAAATGCCGTCCTGAGCTTAACCAATTTCCGGTATATTGTGATTCTTTTCTTTTGTTCCTCATACAATTTTCCGCAGCTTGCACCTATCTCAAATTTTTAAAAGAAAGGGCGCATTTGTGCGAAAACATCATTTCTGAGACTGGTATTTAGCTGTAAAAATTCCGAATTTTCGGATACTTTAATGAAACTTTCTGCTTCTATACAGTCAGATGTTTCCTAAAGATGGTGAATATTCCAAAAGTCTCCTTGCTTAATGTTGGAAGATACGAATTTTTAAAGGAGATGGTGCGGTTGGGCAGAACCTTCGATATTTATTAAGCTGACAAAATTGATTTTGGCACAATGGATAAAAAAATCTAAGGCAATGAAAGTCCGAGTAAACTATTCAACCTCTTCCCAAGGGTGGATCTAGTAGGGGCGTCATGGGGGTTCAATTCTCTATCCTTTCTAAAAAGGCCATTTATTTCTTTCTAGAATAATGTACAAATGAGCGTTCTTGCTCATTTTGCCTCCGAGATATGAGCAAAAACGGGACGGAAAACATTAAACTTCGCAATAGTCTTACGCCACCCTTCCACAAAACGACGATATTTTTTCTAATTTTATAGACAACAGAAGACTGTATTTTTTCTACATACCCCTCCCCCCCCCC